GTGAACATGGAGACGTATGGAGACTGAGGGGCAGGTCGTGGCTGTGATGAATGACAGGGTGTAAACAAGGTAAAGACAGAGACACATCTGTAATAATCAACACTTTTAATGAGAGTCAGTTTGAACTGTGGGGCAGCGTTGATTAAGTCACTGTCACACACCGGGATGAGTTAATTTGTTCAAACGCAGACAGCTGTGAGGGGGTGGTGTGTGTCTGTGTGTGTCTGTGTGTGTGTGTGTGTGCGACTGAACGAAATTGAGAGAAGAGTGAAAAAGACGATTAGAGAAGGGGCTAAGGGAGTACTTTTAAAATCTCACAGTAATTTATCTGTCTCCCTCCACCTCTTTTTTTCGCTCTCTCTCCATTTCCCTCGTGCGAGTGTGTGTGTGAGTGTGTGTGTGAGTGTGTCAGACACAGTGTAATAGTGCTCACCTCAACTGGGGGAGTTGTGTGCGCCAGCTCCAGGGCGAAGCTCTCTGGGATGTGATTGGACGAGATGGTGACGAGGCTGTTCAGGGACTGGCGGCTGTGATGGTTCTGTCTGCTCCCCATCTGAGCCCGGTCCATCGGAGGTGTGGTGGAGGGCGACCTGTGATGGGCCCTGATGGGCAGGGTTCCGTTGACCGTGGGAACCAAGGTGATGTCGCCTTTGTGGATTTGGCGGGAGGGCTTTTTGGGGTGGTGCTGGTGGGTCGTCTCTGCCACCCTGCAGTTGTACGAGTTCCTGTTGTCCTTCTTCTCCCGGTTGCAGCGAGCTGCAAACGCCACCATGATGACCAGGAGCACGGCGCAGATGGCGCCCAGGGATATGATGATGATTAAGGAGGCGTCGAGGGAGGACTCCCCCTGGTCCATGACTTGGATGTGGTTCTCCATGTTCTCATAGAGGGTTATCTTCAGAACCGCCTTAGCGCTCAGGCTCTCGCTCCCCTGATCGCGGACCATGATTGTCAGCTCGGCCGTCTCCTGGGGGTAGTTCTCCAGGCTGAGGTTGGCAAGGATTTCACACGTTCTTGGGTTGATGAGAAAGAACCCGCCCTCGTTACCGCTGACGATGGAGCAGATGAGCTCAGCATTAACACCTGTGTCTCTGTCAGTGGCCCTGACAGTCGTCACTAATTGCCCTGCCTCTGCGAACTTGAACGCAGGCACGTCGGCAGTGAAGTTCCACAGCTGGGGCACCACGATGACTGGAGGGTTGTCGTTCTCGTCCAGAATGTTAAGAGTGACGGTAGTGTTGCTCATCAGTACCGGCTTTCCTGCGTCTTTGGCCTGAACAACAAAGGAGATGCGACTGACATCCTCGCGGTCAAAGGTACGAAGCGCGTATATGGCACCGTTAGAGGGGTCGATGGTGACGTAGGTGGAGATGGGGCTCCCGTGAACGGAGTTTTCTAAGATGGAGTAGCTCACCTGTCCATTGGCATTCAGGTCGGGGTCAGTGGCAACGATGGAGGTCAGATATGCCCCCGGGGCATTGTTCTCTGATTTAAAGATCTCATATCTCCCCTTCTCGAAACGTGGAGCGTTGTCGTTCTCGTCTGTTACATGCACTGTGAAGTGTTTGACAGTGGAGAGGCTGGGGGTGCCTCGGTCCTCTGCCACCACCGTCAGGCTGAACTCTGACCTCGCCTCTCTGTCCAGAGACACGTTGGTCAAAATCATGTAATTGTTCTCGTAAGTCTTTTGCAGTTTGAAGAAGCCCTGACCGTGGAGTTTACATTCGACTTCTCCATTCAGTCCAGAGTCCAGGTCCTCCACCCTCACCAGGGCCACAAAGGTGTCCAGAGGCGAGGCTTCAGAGATGTAGGCTGCGTCCCCGTTCCCCTGAGACGACATCAGATTGATGCTGATGTCCGGTTTGTTATCGTTCACATCTCCAACTTTCACCAGGATCTTACAGTGAGCTGGCATGGAGTTCGGACCCATGTCCTGCGCTTGGACATCAATGTCATAGGAGCTGGTGGTTTCATAGTCCACGCGCCTGATGAGGGTCAGGTGACCGCTCTCGGGGTTAATTTTGAACGTCTCCATTATTCTAGGGGACACGTGACTGCTGAAGGAATAGACTATTTTGGAATTGATGCCCTCGTCCGCGTCGGTGGCGTTCAGGTCAATGATCAGAGAGCCAACAGGTGCGTTTTCAGGAAGGTTTATGACGTAGGAGGACTTGTCAAAAACCGGGCTGTTGTCGTTGGAGTCCGCGACGTTGATTTTGAGCAGAGTGGTTCCGGTTCTTGCGGGGAGGCCCTTGTCTGACGCCGTGTACTGAAGTTCATAACTGGAGCGCACCTCCCGGTCCAGCTCTCTCAGCACCACCAGCTCCGCATATTTGGCCCCGTCAGTCCTGGACTGGACGTCAACCCTGAAGAAGTTGTTGGGCTCCAAGGCGTACGTGTACAGAGAGTTCTCCCCGACGTCCGGGTCCGTGGCGCTGTCCAGAGGAATGCGCGCTCCCACGGCTGCGCTCTCGGAGATCTCGATGGGGATGACGGAGCGGGCGAACTGGGGCGCGTTGTCGTTGATGTCCAACACCTCCACCTCAACGTGGAACAGCTGCAGGTGCTCCGTGGGGAGCGTGAGCACGTCGAACTGTATGGAGCAGTTGAGGTTCTTCTCGCAGAGTTTCTCACGGTCGATTTTGGTCCTGATGCTGATTTCTCCGTCCTGCTCGCGCACCGCCAGGAACGACGTGCCCCCCCTTTGCATGGCTCTGAAGCGCAGCGACACGGAGCTGGGAAGTTTGGCCAAAACATCCGCCACATCATCCTTCAAACGGGCTATGAAGGTGCCGACCTTCTGCTCCTCAAAAACCTGGTATTTAAGTGTCTTGCCGGTGACGTGTTGCGCAGCCAGCGTTAAAACAACCACAACTTTCCACAAGCTTGGAACAAAGAGACCCTTCATTTTCCTGCTCTTTTTTGGTGACAGCAAAAAAAAGAAAGAAAAAAGAAAAAAGAAAAAAGAAAAAAGAAAAAAGAAAAAGAGGGGAGGGAAAAAAAATCCCAAAATATACTGCGGGTGAGGAGATCCCTGTTTAACTTGGTAAACGATCTCTTCCTCCAGTCAGCAGCATTGCCTTCTGACAGGAGCGAAACGAAAAGCAAAGAAAAAAAGAAGAAAAAAAAGAAAACCCAAACACGCAGATATTCGGGTTAAAAAAAGATCGTCAAAATGGCGCAAAAGTTGCACTAATGTCCCAAAAAATCATCCAAAGGTGTTTCGGTCTCTCTCCCCTTCCTCCGCAGACACGCTGCGCGCATCTGATGTGAGCAGAAGAGAAGCAGCCAAAGAAATGCGTGCGTCTTCCTCGCTCTCCAGCCTGCGTCTGCTCTGTGCGCCGTGCGCTCTCTCTTTCTCCCCCTCTCTCTCTACCTCCCTCTCCCTCTTCCTCTCTCTCTCTCTCTTTCTCTCTCTCTCTCTTGGTTTTTTTTCCGTCCTCACACAGACTTACTCAAAAATAAACCGCCCCTAACCAACTAGTCGCACATGAGCCACGGCTCCCCTTCCTCACATCCCCGGTAAGACAAACGCTCTTAAATCAGGAGCTGGCTGGTGGCCACTCAACATCCAGAGGAGAGGAGGCGCAAAAAGGGAAGAGAAAAGTAAATGTGGGGAGGTGAAAAATCCGCCCTGTTGGATTCACGGTCCTCTGTTGTTTTTTTCTTTTTTTTTTTTTCTTTTTTTTAGTAAGAAACACGATTTCTCCTCTACAAAAGACCGAGGAAGAGGGAGAATAAACTTGAACCTGGAGCAGGGGGGTTATTCTAAATCTTACTCTTCCACTGCTGCAACCTCACAGGAAGGTTTACGACTTCAGTCTCCGGGGGTCTCTTCTCCCTCAGACAGCATGAAGGCGAAGAAAACGAGTCCAAATTCTCATTAGACAAGACAGAGTCCTGGTCCAGCACAATGACCAGCAGCAGTGTTTACAGCTCTCTGGGCGTCTTGTTGATATATAACCTTTGATTCCACCCAGCCATGGGCAGCTGCGCCACTAACTCCTGCCCTAACTGACTCACTGGGCATTGGTTTTACACTTCTTCTTATTTTCTTCACTTTTTCTCCAAGTTGCAGCTGACTGCCCTCATTCTCATTTCTCTCTGCAGAGGCTTATTGCAGTAAATGTTTGGAGCGCAATACATAATTTTCTCCCTCCCTCTCTCTTTTTCTCCCTCTCTCTCTGTCTCTCCCTCCCTCTCTCACATGCATCTCATCTGCAGCCGGGCTAAGCTGTGTGGTGAATCGCGATGAAAGGAAGCCGGTCTCTAATGAATGCCTTTAAAGAGTTGGTCACGCCGAGGAACAGCTCAGTCTGCCTGCACAAATCTGTTGAACATCACTTCAAACTCTCCGCAGGATCCTGTTTTGATATCGAGCGCAGAATCCAAAAAAACTAACCACCGGGGCTGGGTGATGCGTTTTTCTTTCTTTTTTTTTCTTTTTTTTGGAAAACCCGCCGGAAAGAGTGTAATACACAAGGGGGAGAAGGAGGTAGAGAGAGACAGGCAGAGGATGGAGAGGGAGAGAGAGAGATCTAAGGTTCATCCAACGTGCACAACTGGGATCGTGCGTTTTGCAGACCATCTGGCGCGGTTTGTTTGGCACCAGAACCCGGTGGTAACAACCGTTCAAACAGGACTCCAGCAGAGACTCGAACCCTGTACAACTGAGGAAATTAGTTGTCATGGGTGGAGGGGGCGGGGGTGGGATTGCGGGGAGAGAGAGATAGAGATAGATAGAGATGAGATGGAGAGGGTGTTCAGCTCATGGGAACTCCAGTATCAGCTCTAAAACCATGCATATATTAACAAGTAAAATCCGGAGATGAGACACGGGCGGCCATCTGGAGCACAAATCCAATATATATATATATAAAAAAAAACAGACATTAGAAGAAAACTTTATTTAACTTCCCCTCCCGGTCAGAATCACTCCTCAGAACCGCAATTAAAGTTTTTTTCTTTTAAATAAAATGGACATAGAATCTTCAAAATGAATGGTGTAAAATGCAGCAGCAGCTGCAGCGTCTGCATAAAGACACACTGATGTTTTAACCACTTTCAAACCAGGTTATTCACTGTGGGTGGATCTTTTAACCCGCCGCATCTGCACTCATTCTAAATCCCTCACCGTGCGGATTTCTTTTTAATATCATTATTCTCTGAAAACAATACTTGTCCAAATCTTCCAAACGTGCACGAACACCAAGCAGGAGCTCTCCTTTGAACCCGCAGACATAAATTGGCGGAAAAACCTTTATTCCCACTCCGCGTCTATTCATCACCCTAACCCATGTATGCACAATGTTTGCATTCAGCGCTCTTTTGCACATCGTTTTTTTTTTCTTCCTCTTTTTTATGCACCATAGTGCGCTGGCTGTTTAAACAGGTTTGATACGGGCGCCCGGCATTTCCATAGTTTCGAACGCTCACAATGCAGTAATGCAATTACTCCCAGCGTCCCAGAGAAGCTAATCACATTTGGAGAACAAAGTCTGCTCCGCAGTTTATGGAAGAAGGGGGCAAAAGAAAGAATCAGAGTTGGCGTGGGGAGGGGGGCGCCTCTGAGCGCCGGGGTCTTAAGATGCAGAATAAAACAATTAACACGTAGAGGGGGTAAAATCTAAGTTAAAAAAAAAAACCAGATGGAGACTTAATACATTTAGGCACGCTACATCACCAGAGCAGCCGAGCAAACATGACCCTGTTAATGCTCGAGATCCTCAATAATTGAGCGGAGACTGTGGGTCTATTGGAGCAGGTGCAGAGGTTGCAAACACGTCTCTTGGATTTAGTGAGTTTTTGTTTCACTTCTGCTTTTTTTTTTTTTTTTCTTCCAAGCTCTGGAGGATTATTTCTGTTAAACTGATCATCTGGTCATGTCTGGTCTGCTGAGCTTTGAGGCGCACATCAGAGGGACGAGCGCAAACCCTAACCCAGCGGCAGCTCCGGAAGCCCGGGGCGCAGCGCAGTGAGGCGGCGTGGATGGAGAGTAGAGAGTCGGGGGGGGGGGCATTTGTTGCAGCCATAAAGTGATAAGTGTAAATTTGACGTCTGTCGCTCACTTTCACTGCAAAGTTTGCGGATGGCACACACAAGCACAGAGGGGGGCATTGGAGGGGAGGGGGTGAATAGGCGCAGCAGGTGCAGCAGAAGAGCCACCTTGGTTCAGATCGGAGAGGGGAGGAATGTGCGCGCGTGAGTGCGTGCGTGCGTGCATGCGCGCGTGGTGATGCGCGTTCACCCCCGCCGCTGCTGCTGGTGGTTTGGTTGTAAAGGCACGCGAGCATCTGTCGCCTCGTCTGCCCGCTCATTGTGACTCATTCAATTAGCAGCGATTTTGTGGATCCCTTAGAGGGAGGAGCAGGAGAAAGGGAGACCCTGACCCCCACCCCAGCACCCACCACCCCCAAAACACACAGATGGTTTGCATGGTCTTTCTGTGGGGGGTACTAACTTTTCACCCATCACCCGTTTATTTATTAACCTAATAAAAGTTCAGCCGAAAGGGTCAGAAGTCAGAAAAAGAAAATATCATTATAAGTCCACTGTTCTTCCACAAAATAAACTGTGAACTTTAGCCAAAGCTTCCACAGCACCACTCCATATTAAACACATGGAACATATTGTAGTATTACTGCAAAGATAAGAATTACTGGAAAAGTATAGAGCAGAAATATTCCGGATTTCAATCACCGTGAAAACCCGATGGTCAAAAGCTGCTGAATAAAAGATACATTTGTTAAGAACATGTTTAAAAAATAAAAAAAAGTTCAGTGTCAGCCAAAAACATTCCACCAAAACATAACCGTAACCAAAAACCAATCAAGTAGCAAAAACATCACAAATGTACCAACAATGAATAACAAATTGACAAAAATCAACTTGATTTCTCCCCCATCTGCCCACACACACACACGCACACACACAGATGGCGATACATGTTTGTTTGTTTGTTTTTCGGAGAGAACCAACTTTTCACACATCAACTGCTTTATTACTTTTAAAGGTTTTACAGAAATAGTCAGGAAATCAGGCAGGAACTATCAGCGCAAGCCTGTGAAATATTTTAGGATAAGGATTTTTAACGATCCCTCCATTGAGCACCATGGGGCAGAGTTCAATCAGCATAAAAACTCAGTGGTCAAAATGTTTCTGAATAACAGATATGCTTTTATAAAATGTACCACAAATTTTCCATCTCAAAATTATCTACCAAAAAACACCAACATAACAAGGATCAGCGACCAGTAAACAAACATCGTAAGTTCACTGAATTTGGCCGAAATCATCGAGATTTCTCTCTGGCTGACTACACACCACACACACAGATGGTGCACATGCTTTTTTCTTTCCAGCACTAACTTTTTACCTGTCATCTGTTATTGTGTTTAAAGGCTCTGCAGAAATGACCCAAAGTCAAAGAAATCATGCTTCAAATAAAAATATTCAGGTGACACAATTATCAAAACCTCGTTGAAAAATAAGCACATTGGAAAATAGTCCGAGCTTAGCCTAAAAAGAAAAGCTAATATCTACCAAAAGTTAAAGAAAATGAAACACATTTTGGAGCTGACGAAACAAAGGTCCAACCGCTTTGAATAAATGTTTGGCCACAAACTACTTAGGAAAAAAAAAGTTGTTAAAAACAGGCCAAAGAGATACAACGATAGCTAAAACTATCTGCGATAACAGCTAGGAAGAGATAGCCACATGATGCTAGCAATCAACGAAACAGCTAAAGGCGATCAAGCAAAGTGGCTGAGTTAGACAAACGCAATTCAACCCCCCCACACACACCCCCACACGAACACACACACACACACGCACACCATACTACCCTCATCAGTGCAATTATTGTTATTCATCTGAGTGTCTTCCTCCCTCTCCCCCCACTTTCCCCTGCTTTCATTACGGGGGTCCATGGAGCTTTATTACTTTATGACTCGTTGGCCACCATTGTCCGTGTGTATACGTGTGTGTGTGAGCAGACAAGGGAGAGTGCACTGCCTTGTCCCTGCTCACAGTGCATGCGGTGATCACACTCCGAGCGCAGCATATTGCAAGCGATGTCAACAGTTGGGGCGACAAATTTACAGCCCTGGCAGAACTATGGAGCACAGAAAGAATGTGTCTGGCCACCTTTAAAGTGGACGCATTACTGCACTGCTCTGCTCTGACAAGCCCCCACCCCCAACTCACCCCTCCATCCCATCAGCAGCAGCAGCAGTAGCCAGTGAGAAGAAAAGACTGTTGTTAGATTTTTATAGACCTTACTGGCTTATGTGGCAAAAAAAGGTGCATAAAATATTCATACAGTCCTGCAAAATCTCTATAAAAGATTGTCACCTTTAGCTCCGACACTGATATACGGGGGATGTATGGCTGACCGCTGTATTTACTATTCCAGTCAGGTCCTCTCTGTGAGCTCAGTGCTGATGTGGGGTTTGTGACCTGTCACCGCTCTGCTACTCTTTTGTCAGGTCGCAGCCGTAGATCATCTTCTGTTTTACTCCCTTTTTTACCCGGGTTTCTTGTGATTGCGTTCTGTTTTTTTTGTATTTTTTTTTTTTCCTGAAGAAGTCAGGATGGAGAATCGTGTTTGTAGGCTGACACGAGGGAGCAGTTTGGGGGTGTCTAATCATGCAGTCATTCTTTCCTTGGCCTCATTCTCTCAGTGTGATTCATACCGAAGTAGGTGTGTGTGTGTGCGTGCGCGCACGTTGTAGCACATGCCCAGACAGACACACGCACAGAGAGACAATATTTGACAGTATGGCACTGACACCAAAGTGCTTCTCCCTCATTGAGAGGAGAAACACAAAGGGCTTCATTTAATTGCAATCAATTCTAAATCACTACATCACCGTCCTTTTCACTCTGCCTTAGAGATCAGCTGCAGCGCTCCGAGTCGATACAGCTCATATATATAATAATTCAACTTAACAACAAAGGTACATGTAAAAGCCAAGCAGAATAAAAATAGGTTTGTTTTTTTGTTTGTTTTTTTTTAAATAAAGGTGACGTTTATGTCAAGATAGAAGAGAAAAAATCATTATCGCTATTTTTTCATCAACATATCACTGAACTCCTGCAGTTAATATAACAGCAGACAATGAATTTGCTTGGCTACACAGTGGAAATACTGCGTATGTCGTGTGACAGTACACGCCCGATTAGAACACATCTGGTTTTAGTGTCCAAACTGGTTGAAAAGCCCCTTGACTATTTCCACCAAAATATTCAAAATGGTCTCCATTGTTTATGCTTTGGAGAAACAGGAGCAGTCGGTGAAACTTATCCCACGATGACTAGCCTGTTACTTTAACGTCCAGGCCACAGGCTGCGCTGATAAACAGGTAATACACGTTGTTATTTAAGCACACTTTGAGAGGTTGACTGACACCACTGGGTTGTATGGAGCTGATGACCTCATATTTCGTCTCTGTGAAGTAACATTTATATAGGTAATTTATATATTTTTCTATATAAATGATTCCATCAGTTGGATTAGTTCAGTGTTTTTCAACTTTGGGGTTGCAGTCCAATGTGGGGTCGCCCGGAATTCAAATGGGGTCGCCTGAAAAGTCTAGTCATTGATAGAAAAAAGTTAGCGCTAAAAACATTTTTTCACCTAATTATAATTGTTTTGAAAATGCTAATTAAAAACACAACACA